TGCAAGTGATTATCATTAGTACAAAACTAATTGATATTATAAAATCATTTTAGCATGAAAATACCAATGACATGATCATTTTTAAATGAATATGCAAAATTATTTTAAAACATATTGCAGATGTCAAATAGTTAACTATAATGCATAATTAACACCGAAATAAATACTGATGTTATATTGCATGCACGCCCCTGTTGTTATTTTTGTAGTTACTGTCGATGCATATTTTGTTTTTTGTATTTTTTCGGCTTTGTAACACATCACTGACAGAATATGCGATATAATACCGTGGTCCATCTAATTTGTTTTCAACTTGGCACCATGCAATATCATTGAAAAAACAATGCCTTACTTCGAGAAGTTAATGTTACTGTATGTGCAGACGATAAATTAGGTTAAGAGTGTTTTACAGTGAGATACTGGCTTATTTCATGTTGCGTAGATGATCATACAGCTAAACCTGAATGGGCATGCCTCACACACCTAAGTTTAACATTCCAAAAAGCGCACGTCAATTACAATATATGCCAACAATCAGACAAACCCCATTTTTGGCAATTTCTGACTTTTTGGTGATTCATTTGAACGATGCTCAGAAACTTTGCCATCCAATCAGGTGGTTTATTCAAACGACTAGCCAGTTAAGAAATCGGTACACACTAAACAAGTATATATGTGTTCAGAGTAGGATAAACATTCTATGTTACTCATACTCGCACGACTATATCATGCATGTTAAAGTGTTCTGTGCGAAAACAGCTGCAGTCGAGACAATGACACAAAACTAACTTGATTTTACCCTAAATAACCAAATTTATACTTAAGGAATGTCCAAACAACTCGCCCAAAGGGTTTTTCTGAGTGTTTTTAACCGTTAATTTCACCGGCAATGAATGTCAGGAGGTGAAAATTTTCGTATGAATATTCCACCATCGTGTTGCGTTATAATGCACACTATAGCTTGTTGCCTGTAACTTGTTAATATCATAATATTCCTTGATTTGTCTTAGGGATATTGTGTATAATAAAATGTACATGCAAAAAGACAAAGTTTCATTAAACTGATGATTCGACTGGATGGCAATGCACAAGTCTAAATTACACGAGTTTCTTTTTAAGTAATTAAAACAAAATCTAACATTTTAGAGCTTATATCCCAGATGATGTTGCTTAATAAGGTTAAAAATGGATTTCCGAGTGAGTATTAGATATGGGTCGTCCTAATTATTTCAGCTAAAAATCTCATTCTGTTTAGACCTCACAACGACCAGGCACTGGTTACCGGTATATTCAACAAATTACAGCAGGATATTACCAATGTAGTAAACTTTCTAGTCTGAACTTAGGTATGCCTGGATATGTTATTAATCTCACTGTGTGTAGATCACACACTCAACTCATGTACTACAACAAAGACTGAATACCACGCAATCAATCTAGGATACAAGTCAGCATACTTGTATAAAGTGCTCTACTAATTATATTTTCACTACAATATAACTGTGATCCATGGTACAGTAAATGATTGACGCTAATTGCGTCTGAATGGTAAGTCACTTTAAAGCACACGAAGTAGACTCAGTCTCTCTTTTTTTACATTATACAAGTCGCTCTATTGTTACTGCACAATCAGTTTTGCCCTTATGTACTGTACTGTTTATGCATTGAGGTACAAGTTCTATATTTAGGTTAAGTATTCAGTATATGCAGTAAGCCATTTGCTTGTGCATGACTTAACATCGACACAACCTGTAGTGAATAAGTGCACTGAAAATAGTGATGTTACTATTGCTTGTCCTTGTTGTTCAGACTTAAAATATGTAATTACTGACCACATGTAAAATACTTAATAGTGAGTGATATGAAAGAAAAGCTGGTGATAACGTTATGTTTTCAGTTTCTAAGTAGATGTTCCTTCTGCGTTTGAAAGCTATTTTGAGAGAGTCAGCATAATGGTCGTTAACAACACCTTTATAAGACGGACGTAAT